TGAGTGTTCCTGCCCACCTTTTAGCTTTAAACTGAAACTTTTATTTGTTTATCTGGTATTGTTGCTCCTATTTAACACGATAATATTAATCTGGTGTTTTATATGACAGATTTAAAATTTTGATTTCAAAAAATCCATGGCAGGGACATCTCCTCTGCCTGAAACTCAGAAGGCACCAGAAGGGCTTCGTGCTCGGATTTTTGCAGTGCTTATGGCCTTCTTCATGACCCTTTTCACGCTCTTCCATTCAGTGGCACGCCGTGTAACCAAGAAATCTCCCGAGACGTCATCTGTTCATGACCAAAATATTCCTGAACTTCCCTTTGATGTGCCGCCCAAGGAGGATTTTCGGCCCCCTTCACCAACTCCATCATTTACCGAGGCAGAACTACTCTCCTCTGTAGTGAAAAGACTGGGTGAACTTGAAGAAAGAGTCAATATACTTCAAGCAAGGCCATCAGAGATGCCTTGTGAAAAAGAGGAACTTCTGAATGCCGCCGTTTGCCGTGTGGATGCCCTTGAAGCAGAGATAATTGCAACTAAAAAGGTAGACAGTATAGCCTATTATATTTTTGTGTTTGCTGCGGTCGTAAAAGTTATTGATTCACTGCTGAGCCTTGTCACCGGATAGTATTATGCAGTGGAGGCTTGGCTTGGTCAATATAACTCGCTCGTATAGTTATTGATCTAAAAGCAGTGCAATGCATTTTCATTTCTATTCTCTCCTCTTATTATTCTTAATTAGTAAGGATAATTTGCTCCTATTTTCTTTTGTTTTTATATACTAGTGCTATTATGCTTCACTTAGTTTTAAGTCACGTATTGTCTGAAACAATCTGAAAACATGACTGCATAGTTTCGAAGTACTATATTTGAGACTGTTTATTCAACATGTAAAAGTAATGTAAATATAAAATATACTGTACCTGTAGCTGTTGATTGTCGGGAATATTGAGAGGGTTTTCATGTTGATGCGACTTTTATAATTTTGGCCTTTTCTATACATGCAATAAATATTGCTTTCACAGTTTTGATTGATCGCTGTAAATTTCTTTTCATTTCACTGTAAATTTTACCTTCAAATTAATATACACGTTGACTCTCCTTCGAGTTGTGGTTGTCATTGTGCATGCATTATTGTACATTGTCAAGTATGTGTTATGCATACAAATGTAGTTTGATTGCAATTATGCTTCTTTGTGAGCAGGCTCTGCATGAGGCTTTGATGAGGCAAGAGGATCTTCTTGTTGACATAGACAGTCAAGAACAAGCTAAATTTCGGGTGAGTTGATATGTAAACCTTCCTCTTATATATATGTGTGTGTGTGTGTGTGTGTGTGGAAGCGTTCTCTTCATGTTTAAAGATTTGTTTTCTTTTTCTGTAGAAGTTTCTGACTGATGTGTTTCTCAATGCATGTTAAACAGAAAAAGAAGTTTTGCTGGTAAGATGTGAGCGGATGTGAACGAGGGAGGCAATATGTGAGGTTGGTTGTTGTCTTTGGCTGCTTGAGTGTCTTTACCGTACATGTTCGGCATGCACGAATTCTATTACTCTTGCGAAAGATTTGTTTTTTATAATGATGTGACGAGACTTTCTATGGAGATTTAATACACATTGACTGTTGAGAAATCGTGCGTTTCTATATGTTCCTTGTGTCCCGAATGTATGTTGTGATTCTATTCAACTCCAAACGGTCTCTGAAATGTATGAAATGAGTAGGAAGCTTTTTAAAAAATTCGTTGCTAAGCCGTGATAGGTAGATTCCATTCTGAGTTTGCACATGAGAACTTGTGATTGTGTCGATACTTCTTTTTAAACTCCCTAAAATCTTGCTTTTAGGATTTAAATGAAATAATTGAATTGGGACATCCAATATGTTGTCATTAGGTTGATCATGTACAATGAATTGGGACATCCATTAAGTTTTCAATATAGTGATTTGTAATAACTTGAGTTTAAATACAGCTAAAAATATAAAAATAAAAAATTGAGGATGACTTTTATCATATGGGTTTTGCGGTCGGTTGAAATTCAGTATTTGGACCAGACTTTTAGGATGAATTTTCCAGGAAGTCACCCATTCTGCTATTATTCCAGTGTTAGCACGCTTAATACGATCATCACGGTTTTAAAATGTGTTGTGTCATATAAGGGTGTTGAACCTACATATAACACTTTACCTTCACCTTCACCTTCCCCTATTGATGTAGAATGGTGACACCCGTAGCGTCTCACACTCGCTCATAGAAGTTGTCACAGTACGATCAGAACAGAGGATCTCTCAATCGAAGTGGGTTTTGTTATCTCCAAAAGCTCTTCAATTTGTTTCAAAGTTCAATACTTTGCTACATTGTTATTCCCTTGTGTTTGAATACGACATGTAATAGAAAGCTTTCGTTTTTAATTGAGGGATCTGAAGGGAAAAGGGTTAGAAATAAAACAATTACCCACGTAGCAAACATGACTTCAGTGTTGGCAATAGTTCGCCCAAAATCATGGAGTTATCCATGGATAACAAGATTTCCAATAGATTGTAAGATCATACAAAATTTCCAATAGATTGTAAAATCGTACAAAATAATAGAGGATTACACATGGATATCACTCACCACCTTCAACCCTTTTGTAAAATCCGCCTGCAAAAACCGTGAGTACAGTAAACGTTTACAAATGTTGCCTAAGGGAGTTTTTTTTATGTGGGCAAAATGGTAATTTCATATACTCATATATTTTATCATTTTTAACAATAAAATATGAGGGATGAAACGGTAAAATCACTTTAGAATATAACGTCCATGCCCAATCCATTACTGGGGAGGTCAGTTTAACAAAATATTTAAGTTTGATATTGATCATTAGTAATTATGCCAAACTTTGGGGGAGATTGGTGTAATTTATCCTTAAACTTAAAATAGAATCGTGATACATTACTATTATGTTTGGAAGCACTAAATTGGCCGGAATTAAAAATAAAAATAAAAATAAAAAATTCAGTTAAAATCCTAAGAAATTTTGTTAAAATTGTAAACTATTATTCCAATTCTAAATCCGACACCGATTTGATACACCAAAACACAATGAAAATGATGAATAAACAGTCTCAAATATAGTATGCTTGCACGTATGCGTGCAAGCATAATCAATTTTGTTAAAACAATCTCAAATATAGTATCTCAAATATAGTAGTAAATCCAGACGGTGAATTATGCTTGCACGCATACATGAAAAATAAAGACAGTTTAGAAATAATGAAAGTTGATGCATCAGTTTAGAAACAATGAAAGTTGATATTGTGAATTTTCAAGATGAATGCTTTGTGTTTTTGTTTTGAGTGCATGGTGATTATGAATTGTATGAATCTGAAAGCTACCCGATTAAAATAATAATAATAATAATAAGCCATTACGAAAACAAAAGTTGGTGGTGATTCTCTCCTTTTGCGTGATATGATGATTCTGTATCACTCTATACTAGTACACGGGTGGAGGAAGGATTTTAATTCAGAGGGAGCGCAGCGTAAAAATATATATAATTTAAATAAAAAGAATAAAAAAAAATTATATACCATTTTTTTTTTTTTTTTTCCTAAATCACTATATACATCATTCTTAAGTACAAAAAGAAGAATGTTAAGAAGTAGGGGGCCAAAATAATTTAATAAGAAGAAGAAGAAGAAAAAGTGGAAAATCAAAAAAAAAAAATATGAGTTTGAGTAAAGAAGAAAATTTAACTTTTTTTTTTTAAAGAAATCAAAGAAATATTAAGAGCAAAAGGAAAAAATAAAAATAAATTATAAAATAATTTTAGAAATTTAAAATTTTAGGGGGCATTATAGAAAAAAAAAAATTATAAATATATAAATTAAAATAAAAATTACTATATTTTATAGTGAGAGGCTAAATTAGGAAGGACATGTGTCCTCCCTGGGCACACAAGGTCTCCACCTCTGCTCGTACATGCTACAAAGTGTAGGTGGGCAGAGTATAAAAAAAAAAGGACCAAAAAACAAAAAAAAAAAACCAGCAGGCGAAGAAGTCATAAAGAAAGGAACAAAGACATATTAATTATTTGCGAAGAAGTCATAAAGAAAGGGACAAAGACATACTAATTATTTGCTGAGGCACGGGCTACAATCCAACAAGTATTCAAACCTTATGACATGGTGTGTGTGTATAGCCAATAAAATACCTGAGTGTAATAAAATTTCTTTAATTTAATTCAATTCAATTTAAAAAAGAAATTTTACAAATCAATGTTTGATAGAAATGCCAAAAAAGAAATCTTACAATGTAAAGTTAGATAGAAAAACACAAAAAGGAAATTTTACAAGTCAAAGTTGAAAAGAAAAAAGCAAAAAAAAATAATAATAATAAAATAATTTCTACGAAACTCTAACACAAATCAAATATTTTATTTTCTAATAACACAAATTATCTATTTATCTATTTAATATAAAAAAATTTATTAAAAAAAAATTAATTGGACAAAAATATATTTAAAAAAAATAAAATAATTTCTCTAAAACTACCACTATTTATTAATTGATATCCACCAAAAAATAATTACTAATTGATATAAAAAGATTTTTTTTTAACAGTTCTATAAAAACTCTCAATTTAGTGTTTCAGTAAATGTCATGCCCATTAAACTATTACCTTTTATCTGCATCTTCACAGAAAGGACATTCTATTGGACCATGATACTAATCTGGCTCCACAACGACCATGTCAGGCAAATAGTATGTTTTGGAATGAACGCAAGAAAGGGCATTTATAGGCTACATGGTGCCGCAAATGCCATAGCATACAAAGTTTTACATGTGATTAAAAGAAAAGGAAAAAATCAAAAAGTGGAAGGTTAACACAAATTACCTATTTATTTATTTATTAAATAAAAATATATTTAAATAAAATAAAATAATTTTTAAAAAACTCTAAATAAAAGGGTTTAAGAAAAGATTGCACATGGAGCGTTATACACCCCCTGAAAATTCTCGGAATCAATCACAACTCCCGACCAATAGAGAGATTTCATATTAGAAAAAAAGTGAAATGTTAACATGTCATGTTTTTTGCAAACTTGAATTCATACATTTACTACCATTGAGCCCATAAGCAAACGCAAACGCAAACCCAAACCCAAACCCAAACCCAAACCCAAACCCAAACATAGCCCCTCCGAATAACCTAGAGTTTCAAGTATTGACAGTACTTCAGTCCCGAAAGAAAAGAACAAATCTACAGAGTCCTTGGTCAAAGATGCTTCCTTTGCTTGCCAAGCTCCAAATTTAGTTCCTCCTTTTCCTCTTCTTCTCCTCCTTCTCGGACGAGTTCTTCAGCTGCACTCATACAAATAAATAAATTAACCATAGAAGAACAATAGCGATTGGCACAAGCTGAAAGATTATATGATATAAGAGTACAACAGTTGGCTTATCCAGTGAAACTCTTGTCCCATTACTCACCATGATTATAAGGATTCGGACAAAGACAGCAACAAAATCAGTGAAAAGAGTCAGAGAGTGCTTCACGTAATCGAGATCCCCAAGATGTGCCTTCTCAATTATATCCTGGGTATCCACTACCATGTAGCCCACAAAAACCAAGAGCCCAAAATACAACTGCAGGAAGTGGCATTAATCAGAACAGAGGGTTAACCGATCAGAACACTTGCACTTAAAATTTGACTACGAAAACAGAATGTTAAACAAGAAGAAAGTGATTATGATCTCAAACCTCGAACTTGAAGATCGCTGTAGAGCCCCCAAAGATGGAGGATGCAAACTGCAACCAGAAAAGGATGGAGAGACCAGAAGAAAGAAGACCTCCCAGGTAAAGGAACTCTCTACGTTTTGCCAACATTGCAGCCACTGAGAAACACCCGAAGGCCACCGCAGATCCCACAAATGCAGTGATCAGAATGCTGGAATGGGATGGGAAAGATTTTTTACATCAGCACAAATTTATCCAAACAATGCAGACGTAATTTTGTAACCTAAAAACTACCCACATGCCAAGGAGGATTACAGAAAAAGATAAATTCAACCTCAAAAAGCAAAGGTTTTTAGATACAATCCCCATCACCTCCAAATGGAAGAGCAAAACATAAACTACCAACTAATTGTAGATACAAGTAAATGCTACTAGTATTACTTGAGTTTAAACTAGACATATATTTGAAAGCATAGAGAAGTGAAGTCATGTTATCAGATACTTTGGAACAAAAAAAAGCAAGCCTCATAACCTATACAAATTACAGAACCATGTGAAGAAAATAATACAAAAAATACCTACACCAGTACAGATTATCCAAACAATGTAGCTGTGATTTATAGTCTAAAAACTAGCCACATACAAGAGGGAATTACAAAAAAAGAGAAATTCAACCTCAAACAGCAAAGACTTTAGATACAAATTCCATCACCTCCAAAAGAAACAGCAATATAGCTACCAACAAATTGCAGAAACAAGTAAATACTAGTATTACTGGAAAAACAGTGCGCAAACGTAACAAACAAGTCTTATATTTGGAAGCATGAAGAATCAAAGTCATGTCGTCTGATAATTTGAAGCACAAAGAAGCAAGCCTCGCAACCTATACAAATTACAGAACCGCATGAAGAATCAAAGTCATGTCATCTGATAATTTGAAGCACAGAGAAGCAAGCCTCACAGCCTATACAAATTACAGAACCACATGTAGAAATATTCTATATATATATACCTTGGATCAATTTCAATGGCCAAGTGAATCAGAGGACCAATAGATGCCCCTTCAAAAACTGCTGTTGCCATGAGAAGTGAAACCCTTTTTAGCTGCGCAGATCGATAAATGACACAAATTAAAACCAAGAGAGAATTATAAATAAAGATCTTGATTCTTGCACATGTAATGTAACATACACAGCAAAACCAGGTAAACTACCTCTTGATTAGGAGGAGTCGCGAGAAGCCAAGCGATGCAACCAATGCATCCGAGCGTAGTAAGAAGGCCACCAATGTTCCAGAGGATATGGAGATATGCTCCAACCGCAGAAGCTACCAGGGCACAACATAATGAAAGATAAACCTGCAAAATCAAACAAACAGAAAATTAAATACCTAAAATTGAAACAATTGAAGAGTGTATACAGAAAATTTTGTAAAATGGGAAAATTATTTACATAATTAACAAACACTTCAGACGCAAAAAAATAAAAAATAATAATACTGAGATCAGGAAGAAAAAAGAAAAAGAAGCAAAGCCTAGTCAATTAAGGCTATCAATCAAGAACGCCTAATTCATATCAATCAATAATCACATTCAACTTACGAAATCACAATTATTTGGTTCAAAGAAATATGATAAACGAAAAGGTTCAACCAGACAATCATGTTACTGAAAATTATTGATCGGAAAACCCAACTCCAGAAAAATTAAGATTCGAAAAGCCAAAATTCCAAATATATTCACCGTAGGTCCGTAACCCTAATTCTCCTTTAATTGATTTGCCAAAAACACAAATTTTTCGCCTAATTTAGGGATTTTGTTTTTTTTAAATAGTAATAGCGAAGATCTAACACAAACATACATAAATTTCGTAACCCCATCCTAATTTTCCCTTGTTATCTCCTTAGTTTTCTCAGAAACCAAACAGAAAGAGAGAGAGAACCTGTTTGAGATGAGTTTGAACTTTGGGTGAGATCTGGCGGAAGTTCTTGAGAGAATCGTAACTCCAACTGTTACGAGAGCCCATTTGAGGATCGAAGAAAGAAGAGAACGCGTCCATAGCTGTGTCTAACGAAAGAATTACACAAAGAAAACGAAAGCTTTTTCAGAGAGAAACAAGACAATACACGCAATGGATATGACTATTATGCGTGTGTGTGTGTGTATATATATATGTGTGTGTGTGTAGCTTTTTCAGGAATGATCTTTTCCGCGAAATTACCTGACGGCAAAAAGGCATCTTAAATTTTTATTTTTTATTGGACCCCAAATTGACGAATCTATCCTTCTAGTATTGGGTCCCAAATTGTCTGACCCGGATTGGAATTTCTTTTTCTTTTTTTGAGAACCGAATTTATGGAATCCCTAAGAAGAAAAGAAAAAAACAAATAATGTTGTTTGATAATTCAATTTAATATTTCATTTCAAATAAAATTTTATTCAATTAAGTACATTTATTAATTTGAACAAATTAATAAGAAAACTTTATTATTAAAGATAGATTGATTAAATAAATAATTATTCCAAGTTTATGGCTTTTTCTTAAGTGAATCTTGCCCAATTGTGCAATTAAACTTTAACTACCAAGTTTTCACAAATACTTAGGCTTTGTTTGTTTGGATATAAAATACTTTTCAAAAAAATTTTTTTTTTTTTTATGATGTTTGGTTGTCATAAAATATTTACAAAGAAAAAATATATTAAAATTTAATAAAAATAACTTATTTATCACTTTTCGACAAGATATTTTATTTGTCCCGCCAGATAGATTCGACCTCAATCTCGATATAGACATTTGCCAAACACAAAAAAAAGTAAAAATAAAAGAATATTTTACTTGAAAAAGAAAAATATTTTTCACAAAGAATATTTTACATCGAAATAAACAGAGTCTTAATAAATTCTTTACTAATATTTTCAATTGAATTTATGCTTATTTGATTGGTTATGAATTGAATTCACATGTCCCAGATCTCAGCTTAATACGCTTGAATCCCGTTCATTTTTTCTAAAGAATTTGTTGTGAAAATATTCCTTTTATTAAAAAATAAGTATTATGTTTTTATTCCTTAAAATAATGTGGTTTGCTAGTTAGATGCCGGGTTGAGTCATAGTGGATGGTGAACATCCGGTTGTACCCGGATCCGAAATTGGTGTCAGTGGTTGTGTAGAAGAGGGGCACTTACGGAAATGGAAAGGTCTTTCTGGAAAATTCGCGATTATTGGAGACAAATTCATTGGTTGACTCACGCTATAATGACAAGAATTGAAAATTGAGATCCATGGAATAGATACACATAGGCTTAAAAAAATTGAGCGGCGTGTCACCACAACCAATCAATTTATGCCATGTCACCATGAAGATAATATTTTTCTACTTGTCAATTTATTGCAAAGAACAGGTTGTAGGTAATTTACTTCCTCTAGAAAGGTCTTACTTGTCAATTAAGAAAAGAAAAAAAATTAGAATAATTTACACTCACACCCTCTAAGGTTTGAATCAATATCACTCAGGGATCGATCAACACATTAGTTTACATCTACACTCCCTAAGGTTTCAAAAGTGTTCACACACGCCCTCTCAACCCGAGAAAATGACTATTTTAATCTTTAACTTGGTCAATAATAAATACATACAAAGTGTAAATTACTAATATAACGCAATAAACTAAATTTTAAAGGACTAAAATACCATTTATTTTACATTCTCTCTCAAACCCTACACAATACCCCTAATCCTCCAAGGTTCGACAACGCAAGCATGGCCGAGGACGTACATGGTCGATTTGCTCTTCGTCCTCCTCAACACGGCTGATTTTGGCAGAGATTTGGGGTTTGGCCTTGAGGGAGAGGATGCAGAGGGAGTCAAGGTCGTAGAGGCGGAGGCTGAGGCGGCAAAGGGCAGCGGAGCTATGGGAAAGAATAACAGCGGCGTCTTTGGTCCTTGGTGGTGTTGATGATGTAGAGAAAACAGATAACAGCGACGTCTTTGATGCTTAACGGCGTTAGAGAGTTGGGGATGATCGCAAAGGGTGAAGAAGACTGGAATTGTTGAAGAAAAAGGTGTGCACGTTAGATCTACGCGCAGTGGCCCATGGAGAGTGTAAAAGTGCGTATGGTGTGTGCATCGTCGTTCTTCTCTTCGCCGCCAGTAATTTCACCGTAGGTAGGGTTAGATCTTGCTCGAGCAGCGTATAGGTGTGTGGTTACAGCTGTGGTTGTGGTGGCGTTGTGTGGGTGGCGGTGGTTGTGGTGGCGTTGTGTGGGTGGTGGAGGGTGTTGCGCTGTGCTGGTGTGGCGGTGGGTGTGGCATTTTTCATGTGCGGTGTGCGGTGGTTGTGGCAGTGTGTTTCGGCGTGCGGTGGTTGTAAGTGTGACGACGTGCGGTGGGTGTGGCGGTGGGCGGTGGTTGTGGCTGTGGCTGTGGCGGTGTGCAAAGTAGACTCCATCATGAATCATTTCAATGGTCTAACTACCCACCGGAATTGATACCCACAGCCTTCCCATGCAGTTGCCTCCACTGTACGGTGTTATATGGGTCTGGCGGGTCTGGCGGGATGTGGTGGTTGTGGCTGTGACGGTGGTGGTGTGTGGGTATGGCGGTGGTGGGTAAGAGGGGTTACAGAATTAAGGTTATTTTTATCAATTAACAACTTCAGGTAAATATGACTTTTGAAACTTTAGGTATCAGTATAAACCAGTGCATTGACCAATTGTTGAATGGTGTTGACTCAAATCTTGAGAGGGTGTGATGCAAATTGCCCAAAAATTTAAACAACGGAGATGAAAATTAATTAAATATGTCAAACTCACTACTTAGGATAAAAAAATAATAATAATAAAAATAATAAAAATTCTCAATAAAGTAATGTCATAATATTAAAAAAAATAATAATAAAAATAATAAAAATTCTCAATAAAGTAATGTCATAATATTCGAATTAGGGTTGTTACGTAATTCTAAATAGTAGTGTTCAATAAGAACTATTACACTATTATTGCGTTTGGTGCAAGAATAGAATGAAATGGAATACTCATTCCAATCATTCCTTTGTTTGGTATGCAATTTAAAATGGGAATGGCCATTCTATTTGAATGAAAATCCATTGCACAACTAAATCTATGAAATTGTCATTCCATTCCCAAGTAATTTTTTTTTAAAAATCAACTTCCCAAAATATCCTCATGTTCCAAGTCCAAAAATCACCATCTTCCACCACAACCACCTACACCTTTCACCACCACCACCATTACCACCACCACCAACTTTCACCACTACCCACCGCTTTCCACTACTGCCACCGCTACCACCTTTCACCACCGACATCGCCTTCCATTACCTCAACCATCGTCGTCGCCTTTCACCATGGCCACCACCACCGCCGCCGCCATCACGTTTTACCACCTTCCACCATCACCACTGCCACCGCCTTTCATTACTGCCTTCCACCACCACTACTGCCTCTGCCTTTCACCACCGCCGCCTTTCGCCACCACCACCGTCATCGCTTCCCACCACCTTCTACCACCACCGCCGCCACCGCTAGGGATGGCAATGGGGCGGGTTTGGAGCGGGTTTCTCTAAATCCCGCCCCGCCCCTTTTAATTTTTGTCAAGTCCATGCCCGCTCCAAGACCCGCGACGGGTTGGATTTTCATATCTAACCCCGTCCCGTTAGGAAATACTGTGCCCCCGTGCCCGCCCCACTACCAATTTTTTTTCTCCCACTTTTTGGAACTTAAACTCCTGCTATTTAAATGTGCAAAGCCTAGGAATGACACAACATAAATAAAATTATGTATCCTAATAAATAAATAAATAAATAACATGCACATAACATAATTCAGAGAACATAATAAACAAAAATAAAAGTTTAATATAACCAAATCACAAGAAGTTCTAAACTCCAACTTCCACCATAACCAAAACAAAAGCAAATTTAATACCAAGTTTACATCCCAAATTAGGATTATAAGAGATGGGTAATTAGGTAAGCCGCTAAAATAACTTATTACTATATATATATAGTTATATGCGGGGCGGGGCGGGGCCCCTAGGATATGTATATTGAACCCTTACCAGCCCCGTAACCCTCGACGGGTACAAAATTTGTATCCATGTCCGCCCCAACGGTATAACAAGTGTTCCCATATCTGTTATTAACGGGGCGGGACGGGGCGGGGCCCCGGCGGGGCGGTAAAAATTGACATCCCTAGCCACCGCCTTCCACCACCCCCACCACCTTTCGCCACCTTCCACCACCACTGCCGCCTTTTATCACCACCGGTACCGCCACTGCCTTTCACCACCGCCATCGTCACCTTCCGCCACCACCACCTTCCGCCGCCACCACCACCACCACCGTCGCTGCCGCCACCACCGCCATCGCCTTCCAACACCTTCTACCACCACCGACTTCCACTGCCGCCACCGCCTTCCACGACCACCATCGCCACCACTGCCACCTCCACTGCTTTCCACCATCGCCACAATCACCTCCATTGGCTTCCATCACCGCCACCTACATCACTATCTCCTTCAACCACCACCAACACTCTTGCCACCGCCTTCCACCACTGCTACCTTTCACCAACACTGCCGTCTTCCAACACCACCACCTACACCATTATCGTTTTTCACCTCCACCACCATCCACCATCACCACTACCTCCATTTATTTTTAAATTTTTTTAGAACAATGTCATTTTGTTAATTTTACTTAGTTTTTACTAACAGGGATATTTTGGAAAACTCAATTTGAAATTTATTCCATTCTAAATTTTAAATTGGTCAAACCAAACACTAAAATGGTTATTATCATTATATTCCTATACATTTCATATTTACAACCAAACAAGAGAATGAGAATAGCTATTCAATTCCATTTCCATTCTCATTCCATTTCCACTTGCATTCCATTCCATTCCCGCATACCAAACATAAGTAATAAAATATTTTTTTTTCCTGTTCATCGTATTTCAAATTTTCAATTGCTTACTCAGTTTTAAAAATCAATTACTATTTTTATCAATTTTCTTCTTATTAATATTTTTTAGAATTATTGTTGAGTTAAAAGGTTGACAAAAAATAATTTTCTCATTTTGGCATTTGAAAGTGACCTACCCGTCGAAGACAATATTATTTCATTTAAATTTTTACAATCAATTTCAAATTGCTGAATCAGTATATAAGATGAATAGATGTTTGATTGGTTGAACATAATTGGAGTCAAGGTTGATAAAATTTATAACAGCCTCATTTTATTTTTTTATTAGTTATCGATGTAATTTCAATTTTCTATTCCTATTAAGAAAAAAAAACTATTATTTTGGGCGTTTATAGTGAAATTGATATGTAAAAAAGCTAATTGATTTTTGGAAAAAATAAGAGGGCTTGATTGGCTGTTTTTTTCTCTTTTTTCAGAAAAAAAAAAAAAAAAAAAAAAAAAAAAAAAAGATTGAAATGTTACTTGAATAAATAAAATATCCAATTTCATACCTAAAGTATATATATTTTTAACAATTGTACTATGTTTTCATTAACATAAATAAATAATCTAATTTATTAAAAATCTTTTGTTATCATGAAATTGTTTTCTCTTTTCACGATTTACTGGACTGAATTCAAATAACATAACAAGAGTTAATTTTATTTACTGGACACTTTTTAACTTTTAAGAGGTCGTTGTATATACTTCTGAAATAAAAATTATATTTTCTTGAGACATAAACAGGTATTTGGATCCTTTGCTCCTGTTATTTACTATAAATTATTAATTGCAATGGTTATTAGTGCAACAGATGAATAGGAATTATTGGATCATTACTGTAGTAGGGGCCCCACTTGATCCAATAATTCTCATACATCCTTGCATCAATAACGGTAATAACTAATAATTTTTTCATTATCCACGATAAGAGCTCTCCTGTGAATTTTCATAATTAATCACTAGATTGTGATTCTTCCCAATCGGTTGGATCCTCAACCCTTGTAAAAAGTATTCCCCTTTGTTATAAAGCCTTCTGACTAAAATCTGAATGATATTTGACTTTTTCTTAATAACGTTGTATTGGGGTTTTAAATTTAAAATTTACTACAAAATTTTAATTAAATTGCATTCAATTTTTCAAAATTTTAATTAATTTGCATTCAATTCCATATTCAAGCCATCAAATCCATAGTCCCAAACAAAACATACCTGTAATTACATTTGTTTGATCAAGTATATAAGGAAATTTAAGTAGTTGCCACTTGCTACCTCTTTCTTACACCTTATTTCTTGCTAGTTTGGGTCAATCAGAGTCCAAACCTTATTAGTCGTTGTCAAATTAGGTGGTACTAAAAAAAAAAAATTCATTATCAGTTCCAAGCTTTTTTTTTAGTTCCAAGCTATTTTTTTACTTGTTGCTGAATATAAGATATTATAGAAGTTCTGAGCAGGTATATAAGGTATGTTTATATCCCACATAAATTTCTACACTGGCCACTCTATTTCTTGAGGACCAAGCACATGTTTATGCCTAATTGCGTACCTTGACTTGATTCAAGTACTATTACAACTCTAAGTCATCATGACTAACAGTTACAACATTCACAACAATTTGGTAAATAACAAACCTCTAGGAAGCTGATTGAAGTTGTTCATGAGAAGCCTCAAAAGTCTGACTCTGTAAAAGATGGCTAGTTCCTGAGTCCGAGCTGAGCCCCTGCCTAAGCAGCCTCTGTTTCCTTAACCCCTCATGGCATGGAGCAAAAAACTCATGGTTAAGTGCTTCCTCTGCACTTATCCTCGATCTCGGGTTCACTGTCAAGCATTTGTCCACGAGATCAAAGAGCGGTCTTGGTATGGTCTTGAGGAAATCTGGTCTTTTGCTGTTTTGTTCGCACCATTCTCTCAATTTCATAGATGGCAAGGATTGTATGTCGAAGAGTTCCTGTGACAGAGTAGTTCTCTTCAATAAAAGGGAGCAATTTAATCAATGTGAACTCAAACAGGTTTTAGTTTTATGTGATGACAACCGTTGGAAATGAGGATTCGCGGTTATGTAGCTTGGCCACTTCCCAAAGATCTTCACTGCCTTTCAACTTTGCAATGTCCTTTATGTTCCTGCCAACAACAGTAACAAGGTTGGCAAGAATGAAATCATGGTGCATCAAATGTATCGAAAGAGCAAGCTTCCTTACTGTTCGGGGTCGCCAACAAAGGGTGTTCTTCCAACCATCAGGTAGAGTAAGGTGACCCCAGCAGACCATATATCAACCTTGGGGCCTTGAAATTGGGATCTGAACAATACCTGCTCAAAGTCACGAAAACGAGGTTAATGGCTGAAGTACCATGATTTGCCTAGAGGGACTTGAATAAAATGTAAGGCTCAAGAAAAGAAAGTTCTATGCTCTTGGAATCCAGAACTAATTGTTATTTGGATTCCTACATCCTCATTAAGGTAAAATTTTGATACTTATTCACGTGCTTCCCGAATGGTTTTGTCAGTGTTAATAATTATCAGTTCCACAATAAAAGGGATAAATAATTATTTGGAAAAATATTTCTATTAAAATACCAATTACTTCTAAAGCTTAAGCTGTTGGATAATGAGCCTAACAATGCATATTAAGCACCCAGAAATGCTGAGATGAAGACTAGAACCCAATTACTCCCAGATACAAAACTCTGATACCATGTTAAACTACCAGTTACTCCAAAAGCAAAAACTATTAGAGAATGGGCCCAAAATTTGATATCAAGGTCCAACAATTTCAAATCATAATGTTTTAAGATAATTATATAACATAATTTGTTGTTCTTCAGGTAGCATCTTAATACCTGAGTCTCCAATAAATTATGAAGCAACAATTTAGTGGAGTTGTGAGAGTAAAATGAAGTCCTGAGAATAGATAGAAACAAAGTGAAAATGATTACAATTTCTTACCTCTGGAGCTCGGAAGCCCTTGGTTCCAACACAAGGACCTTCTTTCTTGTTCTTTCCATCCCCTAGGAACAAAATAAAACATGATAAATTGAAATAAAAAATAAGTTTGTATATTAAGTCATAATTCACCTAATATAGGAAACACACCTTTGTTTGTTAGTAAGCCAGCACCGGCAACGGCAATCCCAGTGCAATGCAATGGCATTGGGGTAAGATAAACAAATTTTCTATCCACTTTTCCAGGAGGGGCAGCAACCCTTTTTCTCTTAGAAGTTGGACGACTCACTGCTTCATGATTTGGAGCCTGCAATGCTTCCTGCACCAGGCTAATCAGCTCCTTTCTACCTTGGCATGGCATTGGTTCCCTAAATCTTTCTGCTGAAGGAGTTCTTGCACTCGTTGCATCCTTTGCTGAAGTTATCCCAGAGCCATCTGCGCCTTGGCTTTTAACCATATTTCTATTACTTAGGTTAGTTAAGATTTCTTTCTGGTCCACAGCCTTCTTTTTCAGGTTATTGGGCAACACACGTGACCTGGGGCCTTTTCGTGCCTCCTGATTGACTGCCTCCAAAGAATTAGCCGTCAGAAGCTTTGTACTTTTGGCAGAAAGAAGAGATTTCGGCCGGGGAACTGGAACATGATCAAAGCTCATATCATAGCCCAACTTTGATTTGTCTGTAAAATTATAAAAATTAATTCCATCAATCCAGATCTTGGATCATGTTACAGAGAAACCAGATAAACTTCACAATGGAAAGAATTAAACAAAAGAGCATATTTAAGCAGGCTATCCTACTGCCAATTGTCGATTTACATTTTCTGCTAGGTAAAGCACCAAAGCTTAGGTGAATAAACCTGTTGTTTTGTAACTCAAAAAAATGACAATGTATACAAATTATATAAAGACTAAAATAGAAGTGGATGCTTACCAGAGGTTCCATACTTGTGATGCAAATCCTGTGCAAAAGATAAGAGGAAAGCGCAAAACAATGGACCATCAGTTATGCATTGGTTAAAAAAAAAAAATTTGAAAGAAAGAATTGATGGCTAATCAGAAGGGCATGGTATAAATCTAAGGAAATATTACTCACCATAGCAAGGTTAAAATCTATGAGATAACCTTTATTGACCTTACGAGAGAAAAGGAAGTTGCCAGGTTTAACATCTCTATGAACTATTCCCTGCAAGCGAGAAAAGAAAGACTTGAATTTTATTAATTATGAAAAGGAGCATAATAGTCCACAGAAATATATATCAACTCTTGGTATAGTTTCTACCTGCCTGTGTAGACCTGCAAGTGCTCTGAACATGCAATAGCCATACCACCGGAGCTGAAAAACATCTATTTCTCTCTTTAAGACCTAGAAGTCAAAACAAAACTGAAATCAGTGAAAGAAAATAAGAAAAAAGCCATTGAGGGGTCCAATATTTACCTCAGGCCTGTCATGCTTAACGTGCTCTAGAACAATGCAATCAGAATTTCCACTCTTGAAAGAACCTTCATATTTTATAATGAAGTTCTTACCCCTGTATTCAAAGTATAACTTGCAGATTCAAGATCAAATCTTCTTGATGAAACAATATAACAAATTCTTTAAGTTAACCTTTTCAGGATCCTTACCCAAATCGTTCCAACATCTTCAGCTCATTGTGAACATGGTGTCTATTAGCATTTGCATGGGGACCTGGAAGCCATTAAAATGCCTTTTAATATCAGGTAATCATCTCCAGAATAACAATATATCAGGGTTTTAAATGTAGACAGTGTTGGTCATTTTCTGATCTTACAAAGTGACTGCTACAACAGAAGCTAATAGACAAAATCAAAACAAACAAGGACACAAGTATACATTACAAGTATCAATAAAATGAGTGACGTTTTCCAACATTATTCAAAACAATTTTCCAAAATGCTGGTACACTTATACAACCAATCAGTGATATAATTTGATTATTTGGTTTTAAACATGTCTCAGTAAAATTATATGGCATGTGTCTATGAAAAGCAATGTTGTTAAAATTTTGTCATCGACAATTTAATATCCCAATGAGACAAAATATTGGATGGCTTGACTTGACTTGCAAGTATAAATTACTTTTAAATGATTCCATAGTTTATAAGGAATATCATCAATGCATTTTTCCAATATTTAAATCCAACATGCTCTGACTATTTGGTTTTAAAAACGAGTAAAATACACTTCTTGCTGTTAATTGAACAATTTTTATATAGAAAAGAAGACTGATAAAACAATGTTGATGTCATATAGGAACCAATAAAGCTGTTACTATAGTGATTTATACAGTGTTAATTTGACTGCTAAGATTATATAGGAAAAAGAAAAGAATCGTTGGAATCCTACGATCAAGTGATCATTTCTTTTCATATGAATTCTGAGTTATTCTAACCAATGTAGGACAAAAATTATAGTCAACAATGGGACATCAGCTAAGTTGATAAATAAAAAAAAGTTGTAAATGGCATTATTTATACACTTAAAGAATTGCAGTTTCTCAGGGTAAATGATTATGAAAACATAGTACTAGACATGACCTTCAAAATTTCTACCTATAAAAGGTTCTAGCAAAAGGTTATCTATACCATAGGCAAGGTCATCATAACTACGCATCACATAACTTCCCCAAATATTCAGCTTTATAAAAAAATAAAAATAAAAAAAAAAGCGCAAAAAGCTATAGAGTATATGAAACTTTTGTCATCCATACATTTAATAGCAAATGTTACACCATCATTCTTCCTCTGCACCCTGTAAACTGTGCCATAACCACCTGCATATTTAGGTTTGAGAATATGAGGTCATTGAATTCAAGTGATGACAAATGAATCACCAAAGATGTAACTGAAAACGAATATTTAATCAAAGCCTTGATACCTGAACCTTCTTCCTCCTCTACAGCAAAAGATTCAAAGTTTGGTAGCGCTTTTGGCTCCAGTTGGTTCTAGCAAGTACCAACGGCTTTAAATTATTAAGACAGAATATCCATAGTAGAAAGGCAACTAAAAACAATTTAAAACCTCAAGTATGAAATATGGTAACATATTTACTGCAGAACTGAAACTTACATTGAGAGTATGTGAGAGAGATTTATCCCTTTTTTCTTTAGAATTTCCCCTATTCTCTTTAGTATACATGTTCCGGTCACAATTCTGCTTTAACATCTGCTTCGCAAAAATTGGATTTTTATTTCTTCTACGTTGCTGCTGCTCTGTAATAGCACCAATAGCCTTACTCTTCTCTGGTGTCCTGTGATAAACTCCGGTTCTAGGATTTAGTGCATCTTTCTGAACAGCCTTCAATTTGGCAGTGGGGTCCGTGAGTTGCCTCTCCCCAGCAGAGAGCACAGCTGCTGAAAGCATAGCCTGACTCTCCATATGTACTGTAGTTTTTTCTCTATGCAGAGATGGCATCATATCATCACATCTGCTCATTCTTTTAACATCATCCTTAGGTTGCACGTCCACTTCAGCAGAATTAGTAGGGAGACAAAAAATACAGCAATCAGTTAACTGTTCTTCTCGGCCTTCCACAATTCTTTCAACTGTTCTGACATTTGTAGTTTTACAAGCATGAACATTCTCGGTCTCCACCGGTGAGATTCTTATTTGTTCATCTACTTCTAGAGCATGAACATTCTCGGCCTCCACCGGTGAGATTCTTATTTGCTCATCTACTTCTAGACAAGATAATGTGTTGATATTAATTCTACCTGTAGAATTTGTCCTATCCATTGGAGCTTCTCTCAATACACTTGAATTTTCTGTAACATTAGTTAAAAGAGATGGTTCTGAATGAGGTCTAAATGCCATTATTTTTTCTGCTGCTATTGAATTGTGTACATGCAGAAATCTTTCAGGACTGAAAAATCCATGGTGATACTCTGGTGTATATACGTATTTATGCTCTTTCCTGTTAACAAACATATCTGTATCCTTTTTGCTTTCATCTTCAACAGGTTTGGAGTTGATAAGCAAGGAAGTTCTGACCATCAGTTCATTTAGATTCCCAGAGTCGACCGCCATGACTGATGTCTCACCTGGCTGTGTATTTATTCTACTGCACATTCCATCATCTGTATGAAAATTTACCTGCATGAATGGTGGGATTTAACAGCAATCCAAAAGTGTAAAGATGCAATTATGCTTCAATAATATGTAATAAGATCACTAATGAGGATTCAGAACTAATATCAGGAAAGTCATTGGTTTATAAATATAAAAAGTTCAGTTAGGAAAAAAATATATTTTAAAATTAGAGCAAGCCATGTATGTCTCATACCTACACAGCAAGAGAGAGAGAGGGAGAGAGATTCCACTTAATATCAGGTTCTAAATATTATACGGAAGTGTATTGTTATGGATTTTTAACACACAAGTGTTTACCAAAGACGGTAAACTAAACATGTCAAGGAAAAGCCCAAGCAAAATGGGTGGGTGCATTGCTTACTCACTGGAAGCTAAAAAAAAAAAACTACTACACATACTGACATATCATCACTCTATAGATTTTTTTTTTTTTTTGAAGCTCAAGAAATGTTGACCGTCATTCAGAGGATAGGAACTGGAGATTCCCAGCTGAATGAATCTCCATCTGGTCTTGAGGACATATAGATCCTCACAATCGTATTGGAAAATCTCATTACTGTTGTGCTTGCAGTGAAAAAAGGGTTATTTGTCAACGATTAATGTATAAATCTTCAAATTGACAAAAAAAAAAAAAAAAAAAAAAAGCAATTGGAAATCTTATTCAACTTGTATTCTGAAAATTTTCAGTAATTTAGCTTCCAGTATCACAGTCTACTATCACTAAGGCAAGGAATCTCAACTGAGAAAGGGACTCATTCCTTTCCAGATCTAGATGTCAATTGAAAGAAATGAAACTGATTAGTTAACATTTTATACATTCTAGTATATAGTATTGACTCAAGTAGATCAATCAATTCGCTTGTCCTATATCAAATAATTAATCAGAAGCAACTTCATTAAGAAATATAATTGTGGTTACTTAAAATAATATTTACATAAGTATATAAAGGTAAATTGTAAAATTACCTTGGCACAGGCAGTTTGAATCCTGTCAGGCAAAGCCAACACAATTCGATCTTCTTCGTCCCCTGAAAATCAGACATTACAGCAATCCACTGAAAAAATTAGCTCGAAAGTGCAGAAAATAATTAATATTTTTTTAATAAAAAAATCAGTTTTCTTACCATCCGCAGTATGCAAAAAAACTCTTTTTTTGGCTACCGGTAGACATTCAAAATCCAATTTCGGCCTCTTCCGCCTTCGATGATACGTTAACACGACCTCCTCCCACATTCTCTTTCGGCCACGAAATCCGAACCCTATCGGAGGCAGAAATGCCGCAATTAGGTTAAAATTCGATAAAAAGTTCCCAAAAGCTGCAAATGCAACTAGAGACGGCGTGACAAAGAGATCACTGGTCAAGAAGAGTGGTGAAATAGGGATTGAACAAAGGTACTCGACGAAATCCGGCGATGCGGAGAACAAATTGCATCGAGAAGCGAGTTCGACCGGACGAGCCGGACGGGAAATTCGTAGGAGGAGAGAGAGGATGTGCCAGGCTTTGCTTAATTCAGTGTTGGTCACTCCACTGAGTTCTGAGCTTGTGAGTTGAGTTTCCATGGAGGTTCAGATCTAGAGATAGAGAGAGAGTTAGGATCTGTGAGTGGTGAAAATGGAGAAGAAGATTAGAGAGAGAAAGTTGCTGGTAGGGTTTCAATTATGGAGATAGATGTGGAAGATTTGCAGAAATGTTATCAATTTGGAGAGAGAGAGAGAGAGAGGAGCGCGAAGGGGACTGGTGTAGGGTTTGATAATTGGCACGTGCGGAGTTCCCGCCAATTCTATTCAGAGTTGTTTTTTAAGTGGATTTGAAGAATGCCATACCGCTCCAATTGGTAAGGATTTGTTTTTGAAATCGCCCTTACTTAATTATTAAAATATGTCAATAACTATACTATTATTACAGGATTTTTCTTTTCATTCTTTTTTTTTTAATGATTCTTTAAATTTTGTTAATTAAAAATAATAATCCATAAAAAATTTAGGCAGTTATTCAAAGTTCCAAACTAAATTTTATCTGACAAGGTTTTGTTGAATCTGTTTAAGATAAAGATTACTAAAAATATGACAACTAGAAAGATGGTTTGCACAATGAGACAACTGCAATTCCTAATTCAAACAAAACAAATTTTATTTTCAAAAAATATATATAATAAATAAAAATAAAATTTATAGCAAGGTAAGACTGTCTGTATATTATGTAAAAAGATTTGATGAAATTATTTTATATGCATAATTATAGTGTGAAATTTAACTCTCTTTTTTTCTTTTCTTTTTTTTTTTTTTTTTTTCATTTCACATGAGGTATTACCACATTTTACGAGTGAAACTAATTCATCTCATGATACGGAACACCTCACAAGCCACGTACACCTGACAAGAGGGCTCAAGTTCTCCCCCGCTAGGCCAACCCGCAGGATTATGAAATTTAACAATTAAAGTGGCAAAATTGAGACATTGGTATTAATAATAAGTATTTATATTGTTCGAGAGTACATGATTCTGCCAAATCACAACTCAGCATGCAAGTAATTGTGTCAACTTTATTTAAATTTTTACTTACCTTTCGAATTGTGTTTAGTCAGAACCGGACCATGAAATAATTTCTCACTAAGTCAAGCCTCATCACATTCTGATTTTAGTTGATGATGGCATATGTGCTCATTGATTTTGGTCCAACGGTGGTGGAACTATGGAAATTACAAAGTATCCAAATGAGAAATGCTAACTAAAATACAGAAATAAATGGAAAGAAAAAAAATGTTGACGGACATTCCACTGTACAGAGGAATGTGGAGATCAACTTATACGAGGTGTAGATTTCACAAATAGAACAAACCCTACTCCTTGTGAAAGTAATCTCTACATTTTTCCATGCACGAGAGAGGATCTGGGTTTAGGTTTTAGTTTTGCATTATGCATTCAATCATTTGTAGACCTTCCAAAGTCCAAAGTAGATTGATTAGTGGAATGGTAAAAGTTCTGTCCTGACAAGTCATATTCGAACATGTTCACTGTTAAAATAGAAATGAATACAGGAGTATCCAGACATATCAACATTTATTACTGGTGAAAAGATAGGAAACTAGTCAAATAATATGTATATTCTGCGATTGGGTAAATAATATTCATTCGAGGATGTATAGAGCTAACAGTTCTATACCTGTAGATAGTTTTTTTTATTATTGAGATTTATTGACAATCTCACTTGGCAATTTTGTATCAATCACTTTAAAGGTGCAAGTCTAAATGACTCACACACACACACACACATCATTTTCTCTGTTTTCTCCTGCACTCAAGGTAAATCAGGTACTTGGAGACTTGGTGCTAGTTGAGGAATTGGCTTGCATTTGCTGTGTGGAACTTTTAGGACTTCCACTAATATCCGAAGAAGCTTCTCCCTTTCCTCCATAAGCTCCTCGATGACTTGCTGGTGTTTCAACACCTGGAAACACAAGGTATTTCGTGTTTTCAATGAATTCCATACAAAAAAAGAGGGGGGAAAAACTATTTATCCCAAAAAAAAAAAAGAAAAAAAAAAAGTAGCATCATTTTATTGGCAAGATCTCCCAATGTCACGTGTCACCACCAACTGGGATTCGATAAAGCATATACATAAGAACATTTTAGAGGATCAAGTGATAAAATGGGACAGCGGTAAATCAGTACTTGGAGACTTGTTGCTAGTTGAGGAATTCGCTTGGACTTGCTGTGTGGAACTTTTAAGACTTCCACTAATATCCGAAGAAGCTTCTCCCTTTCCTCCATAAGCTCCTTGATGACTTGCTGGTGTTTCAACACCTGGAAACACAAGGTATTTCGTGTTTTCAATGAATTCCATACAAAAAAGAGAGGGAAAAAACTATTTATCCCCCCCAAAAAAAAAATGGAAAAAAAAAGTAGCATCATTTTATTGGCAAGATCTCCCAATGTCACGTGTCACCACCAACTGGGATTCGATAAAGCATAAACATAAGAACATTTTAGAGGATCAAGTGATAAAATGGGACAACGGTAAATCAGTACTTGGAGACTTGTTGCTAGTTGAGGAATTGGCTTGGACTTGCTGTGTGGAACTTTTAGGACTTCCACTAATATCCGAAGAAGCTTCTCCCTTTCCTCCATAAGGACTTGCTGGTGTTTCAACACCTGGAAACACAAGGTATTTTTTGTTTTCAATGAATTCCAAACAAAAAAGAGGGGGAAAAACTATTTATCCCCAAAAAAAAAAAGGTAGCATCGTTTTATTGGCAAGATCTCCCAATTTCACGTGTTACCACCAACTCGGATTCGATAAAGCATAAACGTAAGAACATTTTAGAGGATCAAGTGATAAAATGGGACAACGGTAAATCAGTACTTGGAGACTTGTTGCTAGTTGAGGAATTCGCTTGGATTTGCTGTGTGGAACTTTTAAGACTTCCACTAATATCCGAAGAAGCTTCTCCCTTTCCTCCATAAGCTCCTTGATGACTTGCTGGTGTTTCAACACCTGGAAACACAAGGTATTTCGTGTTTTCAATGAATTCCATACAAAAAAGAGAGGGAAAAAACTATTTATCCCCCCAAAAAAAAAAATGAAAAAAAAAAGTAGCATCATTTTATTGGCAAGATCTCCCAATGTCACGTGTCACCACCAACTGGGATTCGATAAAGCATAAACGTAAGAACATTTTAGAGGATCAAGTGATAAAATGGGACAACGGTAAATCAGTACTTGGAGACTTGTTGCTAGTTGAGGAATTGGCTTGGACTTGCTGTGTGGAACTTTTAGGACTTCCACTAATATCCGAAGAAGCTTCTCCCTTTCCTCCATAAGGACTTGCTGGTGTTTCAACACCTGGAAACACAAGGTATATTTTGTTTTCAATGAATTCCAAACAAAAAAGAGGGGGAAAAAACTATTTATCCCTAAAATATATATATATAAAAAAATAAAAATAAAAAGTAGCATGGTTTTATTGGCAAGATCTCCCAATTTCACGTGTTACCACCAACTGGGATTCGATAAAGCATAAACGTAAGAACATTTTAGAGGATCAAGTGATAAAATCGGACAACGATAAATCAGTACTTGGAGACTTGTTGCTAGTTGAGGAATTGGCTTGGATTTGCTGTGTGGAACTTTTAGGACTTCCACTAATATCCGAAGAAGCTTCTCCCTTTCCTCCATAAGCTCCTCGATGACTTGCTGGTGTTTCAACACCTGGAAACACAAGGTATTTTGTGTTTTCAATGAATTTCATACAAAAAAGAAGGGGAAAAAACTATTTATCCCAAAAAAAAAAAATGAAAAAAAAAAAGGAGCATCAATTTATTGGCAAGATCTCCCAATGTCACGTTATACCCACCAACTGGGATTCGATAAAGCATAAACGTAAGAACATTTTAGAGGATAAAGTGATAAAATGGGACAACGGTAAATCAGTACTTGGAGACTTGTTGCTAGTTGAGGAATTGGCTTGGATTTGCGCTGTGGAACTTTTAGCACTTCCACTAATATCCGAAGAAGCTTCTCCCTTTCCTCCATAAGGACTTGCTGGTGTTTCAACACCTGGAAACACAAGGTATTTTTTGTTTTCAATGAATTCCATACAAAAAAGAGGGGGAAAAAACTATTTATCCCAAAAAAAAAAAAAGGTAGCATCGTTTTATTGGCAAGATCTCCCAATTTCACATGTTACCACCAACTGGGGTTCGATAAAGCATAAACATAAGAACATTTTAGAGGATCAAGTGATAAAATGGGACAATGGTAAATCAGTACTTGGAGACTTGTTGCTAGTTGAGGAATTGGCTTGGAGTTTGCTGTGTGGAACTTTTAGGACTTCCACTAATATCCGAAGAAGCTTCTCCCTTTCCTCCATAAGCTCCTTGATGACTCGCTGGTCTTTCAACACCTGGAAACACAAGGTATTTCGTGTTTTCAATGAATTCTATACAAAAAAGAGAGGGAAAAAACTATTTATCCCAAAAAAAAAATTTGAAAAAAAAAAAGTAGAATCATTTTATTGACAAGATCTCCCAATGTCACGTGTTACCACCAACTGGGATTCGATAAAGCATAAACGTAAGAACATTTTAGAGGATCAAGTGATAAAATGGGACAACGGCGAGGGTGATGATGATGATAAACTCGAGCATTGTCATGTATGTCATGCAAGTGAATTCACAGAGAGATGCCATTTACAATTTAGAGGATGAAGTGATAAAATTTTGAACAATATAACATTTGTATAGAGAAACTGCATCAATAGGCATTTTCTTTTTAAAATTAAAACACAACTTTCTATCAGGGGGAAAAAAAATTCAACTGGATTATAGAAAGCCACAGCTCTTATGTTAACATCACCTTAACAAATTGGTTTTTAATTTAGTGAAGGAATAATTTAATAGTCACATTTAGTGACTGAATAATAGTCAAGATGAAACATTACCATCTGAAGCACGTTGTTTTCTGACCTCAAGCGCTCAGGCTGCACAGGTAATTTCAATAATTAGAATTTTCTTTTGTATTGGACGCGACAATATCAGCTCAAGAAGCAGAAAAATTAAATAAATAAAAATCCATTATGTTCATTCTTACACAATGCAACAAAGTAATGATACTTCAATAACTAGGAGATGCATGGACATTTTGAAAGTATCTCCACATGTTGTTTGTTTTAGCTTGTCCGTGAAATGTAAATGCGCAACTCCATATTTTGAGCACAAGTATTATTATTATAATTGCAAATAATAAGCAAATTCCAAATGTACTAATTAAACTGTACAAGGAAAAGATCATTCTATAATCCACACTCATGAAGACACAAAAATGGTGTCAAAATAAATCAGATTTAGATATCTTATTTTCTAAACTTAATGTTATAGTAATGGTGACAGCTAAGCCTAGCTGGTGAAGTCTCCAGGTAGTCATGCCAGAGACCTGGGCTCAAATCCTTTGCGGTGATTGGAGATGTTTAACGGTAGGGAAAGAGCTATATCCATCACATAGCCAGCCATTGGACCAAGAAAAGACAAATATAGGCAATCCAAAGGAACACCACACCCCAGGATTCATGGAAATATTCAACATGGACGGTAGTTAGTGAAATAAAACCCCACAAATCTCTCAGCTGAACGTAAAAGCAGAGGAAATCCAAGTTTAAAGTTGATGTAATTCTTTGTTTCTAACACATGTAAATCTATTTTCTCATGTTATAGTTTCTAACTTTAGGGGTATGTGACAGAAATAGATTTCCAACTTTAAAAAAATGTTAATGCTACCAAACAGTTCTGCATGGAGTTTTTATTTATGTCTACAGAGCTTTCCTTTCATAACGAACGGAGGATATGATAAAAGGTTATGCAATTGTACTTTAGGTTGGGGTTTTTATGGGTAAGAGGAGGACTACCCTTCATGTAGCCCACATTGGACCAAAATAAATAAAAAATAAAATAATAGAGGATACAATATAAATACAGGAGTTTAAATCTCATCAATTGAAGTGTGTTCACCTCTTGCTGTATCACATTTGGAACCAAAAGACCTAACTAACAATTATATTAACAGAGAGTTACAGAACTAGACTCCTGCAACTGCTAGAAACCTTTTGAAAAAATCAACTCAAGACACCGAATCACACCCGGACAACAAAAAAGGCCATTGATTTAAATGATTGCACCCGGCAATGCATACAGAATACTTTTCAACATGATCGAACCTGTTCATTAAATATCAGAATTTCTAAATATGCAACGGAACATTTGTCTTATGCAAAGATCCAGTCCAATAAAGGCATAGGCAGCAAAAGTACCAAAAGCATCCATGTGAACCGTAAGCACAATTTGATAAAAAGGAAACAATGGATACCTTTTGAAATAGTTACAGCAGTCTACAAAATTCTACTGCACACTAAACTGAAAAACATGTATTGCTTTTTTCACGTACCATGTCATTTACTTGATTGTCAACATCTTTCAAAATAGGATTTTGCACAAAACTACTGATGACCTTCTCCGTTCGACTTCCATATGAAGAGTCTACCGGGGGGCTTTGAGATGCCTGATCCGGTAATTTTGTTGCCAATTGCATGATATTTCCTGTTGGATTTTGGTTGGAGGGTTCATTTATCATGCTCAAACCACTTTGCAGCGATGTGGGAAGGACGCCTTTACCAAGGGATAAGCTGGGAGCTATTCCAAACTTCATCATCATCTTCATCTTCATCATTGATTCCTAGCAAATTTGGAGATTCATATTTGTTTTACGAAAAATGAAACCACAGCAGGAACTATAAAAATGTGAGAGGCTATAAGGCACATACTACAAGGGAAGATTGAATTTGATACAGCACTCCAGGCTTCACAGATAGACCTACCATGCAAACATTGAAAATGTTAGTATGCCTTGATGATGAAGCATCTTTGCTTAAAATTATCTTATGCTCATGGCTAAATAGGTATTAATGTGGGCTGATATACCATGACACTCAATTAGGTAAACCCTTGAAAGATGCTTTTTAACTTACTTTCAACTGATGATTATCACAATAAATGATGCTATTTCACCAGCAATGCAAATGTCTACTTCTACAGATTTTAATTTTTCCTAATAGATTGTACGGAAGTAAGCACTGCAGCAGCTCTAATAAGATATAAAGACACTCACAATTCAACGGTTGACAGAAAAATTACAAAATGTTGTTCTTTTCTCTCTCTGTGTGTGTATCTTCCCACTAGTATCCAAAAGCTCTTACAGGATCAAATTGACGCTTGAGTATATTTCTCAAAGGCCAATCACAATATTATGTAAAAATCCTAGACTAACAATAGATTAGAATAAGAGGGTCATTCAGATAGGGAATAACAAAACTGTGTAGAGAAGAGGAAGATGATGGTATTAATTCATGATTATAAAAGATTGTAATTTTGTAATCACAAGCCTAATACTAGATTTGGCAGAAGTGATTCCAGAGCATGTATACAGTCTACAACGGCTAGAAAATTATTAAGTTATTTCTAGGCATCCAAATAAGGGTCATATAATAATGTGTATTGATATTACCACATCAAAAATCATATAACACTCAAGCAGTATCCATTGCTTCCTCATACATACCAGCTCCAAAACCATGTCCAAAACCAACTCCACGCCCAATGCCTGGTTCAACTTTCTTTGCTACCAACTTCCTCAACTAAAAGTCAAAAAGAAGTAACAAGAGTCATAAATTTTTTTAAAGCCAAGATAATCTAAATGCATCAAAAAAAAAAAAAAAAAAAAAAAAAAAAGCGAGAGTATTGACGTACAGAATTAACATGTCTACCAACACCAGAAAAAGCATTTGTTGCACCTCTGGTGGCACTCACAACTCGATTCAGTACTGGCATTGCACCTAATACATAGATAGAATCAAATTTTGATGGTTAACTAACATTTTTTTTTCCATATATAAAAAATAGTAACCAAGCTTATGATATGCAGATCACTTAATAAAAGAAATTTTCTTCTATCTTTTCATGTGTGCCTACCCAGCCCCATCAAGCACCCAACATTCTTAAATCTCGGCCAAATTCATTTCACAGCCAAGTTGGTTCTTGCTACAAAGCAATTTTGGAGAGTAAAAACCTTGCTGGCTATATAGAATTTTTACCAAATTTCTCCTTTGGGATTATTTGGAGATTTTTTTATATTTATATATCGATCCAATGAACCCACTTTGCTCTTTATATACCCAGCTTGTTCTTAGCTCGTTATTTGCAAAAATCAGTCTACTTAGCCCCAGGTCACAAGCAACCATCTTTACATGTCGTGAATACAACTCATAGCCGAGTATTCCTTAATTAGGGGCATGATTAGCTATTCCTTAATTAGGGCATAATCACTGCTTTCATATTTTAGACATGATGTATTTACCTAGACACACAATAGGACTAGATACATTCCTTGCACTGCCCTCACCTACCACCTTCCTTGCACTACACTCACCTACCACCTTCCTTGCCTATATAAAGCACCTTGCATCAGAGCTTCAAGGTAAAAGTTGGAGGCCTTTGATCATATGACTGGTAACCCCTCTCTTTTATCTGATACTTCTCGTATGTCTTCTCCCTTTTATGTCACGATAGCTAATGGTACCAAGTCTCTAGTCCAAGGAATTGGTACTGTTAGTACCTCTAGTCTAACCTTCTCTTCTATGTTGTATCTACACAATTTCCCTTTAATTTGCTATTAGTTCCTAAACTTACCTCTGTCCTAAATTGCTCAGTAACAGTCTATCATACTCACTGTCTTAGGATCTAAAGATGGAAATAATTGGTGGGGGCTTTGAGAAGGATGGGCTCTATTACTTTCAGCTGTCTTATTCACCTATTTCATAGGCACTCCATACCTCTACTTTTCTGTATCAGTGGCACTGCCGACTTGGGCATCCTTCGTCTCACAGTCTTCAGCATTTGGTTCCTTCTTTAACTAGTTTTTCTAGTTTAATTGTGAAACATGTGACCTTAGCAAGCATGATAGGGCTTCTTTTAAACTTTGGCGTGATGGACCTAGTTTACGCCCTTTTGAACTTTTTTACTGTGATGTCTGGGTCCAGACATAACTACTGGATTGGTTGGTACCCGTTATTTTGTTTCTTTTATTGATGATCATTATTCTTGTTTGACTTGGTTATATGTTTTTGATGATCTATCACAAGTCTTTCATGAATTTAAGTCTTTTTATGCTGAGATCACTAATCAGTTGAATACCAAGTTATTCATCGAACTGATAATGCTCTTGAATACTAATTTCTTGAGTCCAGAGGGGTCACCCCTCAAACTTCTTGTGTTGATACAACCTAACAAAATGGGATTGCTGAAAGAAAGAATGGACCCATTCTTGCTATTACCCGAGCTCTATTGATTCAAACGAATGTACCTAAACATTATTAGGGAGATGCAGTTCTTACTGCATCATATCTATTGAATAGAATCCCAACTCGGGTCCTTAAAGGAAAACACCATTTTGGATGATGTTTCCTGATAAAGACCCCTTTTCGCTTCCTCCAAAAGTGTTTAGGTGCGATTGTTTTGTACATAATTTAAATCCAAAATGGGACAAACTTGATCCTCGAGCTCATAAATGCATATTTTTGGGCTATTCTCGCACTCAGAAAAGATATAGGTGCTACAACCCTTCTCTGATAAAACATTTTATGTGTGTTGATGTAACATTCTTTGAGCATGTTCCATATTATTCTAAGGAAGGTAGTCAAATGGAGGAACCCATTTTTCAAGACAATATTCTACCATCTCCGGTTCTTGATATTCATCCAACTCTCAGAGTTTATACTTAGCGACATTGCAGGAATACCTCTCTTACTCCTGCCACAGCCCAGGATGAAACGTTTGTGCCACCTGCCCAGCACTTGAACGGGTAAAGCCTTCTTTGCCTCTTCCACATCTTCCTCGGCACCTAGAGATCCGGTTGTTCATCCATCTGAGTCTGATCTTGATCTTCCCATTGCATTTCGCGAATGTAGAAGCATTCGTACTAATCATCCTATATCTCATTTTATTTCTTATAATCATCTGTCACATTCTTTTCGAGTTTTCTCTTTATCTTTGTCATCTGTTACTATTCCTAAGTCATACAGAGAGGCTCTTTCTCTTTATCTTTGTCATCTGTTACTATTCCTAAGTCATGTTGTGGTCATCGTTGGGTTTTCACAGTGAAACAGAATCTTGATGGCATTATTGATCCTTTAAAGGGCATTATTGATCCTTTAAAGGCTCGCCTTGTTGCTAAAGGTTTCACACAGACCTATGGTATTGACTATTCTGAGACTTTCTCTCTTGTGGCTAAGCTGAACTCTATTTTGCATATTTATCTCTCTTGCTACCAATCTTGACTGGCTTTTTCACCAGCTCAATATCAAAAATACATTTCTACATGGCGATCTTAGCGGGAGCATACATGGCTCAACCTCATGGGTTTGAGTCCAAGGCGGAGTATGTTACTAAGTCTATTTATGGACTCAAACAGTCACCTCGTGCATGGTGGGATAAATTCAGTAAGGTAGTGGTTGCTTATGGCATGACTAGAAGTCAAGCTGATTATTTAGTTTTCTTTAAAAAGACAAACGTGTGGCTTTGTGATTTTGGTGGTCTATGTGGATGATATCGTCATTACTGGGAGGGACAAGAAGGGGATTCATACGTTGATTCATCATTTGAGTTCAAATTTTCTCACTAAAGATTTGGGCAAACACCATGATTTTCTTGGTATTGAGGTTACAAGGTCAAAGAAAGGCATATGTTTTTCTCAGAGAAAATATACTCTTGATATCCTAAGGAATACGGGTTATCTTGGCTCTAAACCTGTAACAACACCCATGTAGACTAATCTGAAGCTATTGCCTGATGTTGGTGACTTAGTTGACGATCTAGAGATGTACTAAAGAATTGTAGGCAAGCTCATTTACTTAACCATTACTCGTCCAGATATTGCCTATGCAGTCAGTGTTGTGAGTCAATTTATGCAGCCCACGAATCTCTCACATGGACGCGATTGTACCGATTATGAAGTATCTCAAAGGAGCTCCAGGTCTTGGTCTTCTCTATCAGTCATAGTCATCTGGACATCAGCGTATCGAGGTATACATTGATGCCGATTGGGCAGTCCTTCAGACAGATGGTCAATGACTACTTACTGTACTTTTATAGGAGGCAATCTAGTAACTTGGAAAAGTAAGAAGCAGTCGGTTGTTGTGCCGTCTAGTGCTGAAGCTGAGTACCGTGCAATGGCTCATACTTCCTATGAGTTAACTTGGTTGAGAACTCTGTTACAATAATTTGGGCTTTCTCTCTTCTCTATTGTGATAATTAGACAGCTATTCACATTGCTAGTAATCCGACTTTCCATGAGAGAACCAAACATATTGAGGTTAATTGTCATTTCATTCATTCTAAGGTCGGTTAGCAGATATCTTTACTAAGGCTCTTCCAAAGCTTGTCATCGATTCTATCTACAACAAGCTGAGAGTTGTTCACATATACTCTCCAACTTGAGGGGGAGTGTCGGGAATACAACTCACAGTCAACTATTCCTTAATTAGGAGCTTGATTAGATATTCCTTAATCAAAGGCATAATCACTGGTTTCAAATTTTACACATGATGTATTTACCTAGACACGCAATAGGATACATTCCTTGCACTGCACTCACCTACCACTTTCCTTGCACTATCCTCACCTACCACCTTCCTAGCCTATATAAAGCACCTTATGTACTCAATTATGATTCAATGGAATACAATATAAAATTTCATTATTTCTAACAATAATGTATATTGATATTACCACATCAAAATCACACATAAGACTCAAGCAGTATCCATTGCTTCCTCATACATACCAGCTCCAAAACCATGTCCAAAACCATGTCCAAAACCATGTACAAAACCAGCTCCATATATAATGCCTGTCGTGTTCTTTTCTACCACCTTCCTCAACTAAAAGTTTTTTAAAAAAATGTAACAAGAGTCATAAAATTTTTAAGGCAATATAATCCAAATACATCAAATAATAATAAAACCACGAGAAAGAAAAAAGGAAAAAAAAAAAAAGTATTGACATACAGAATCGTTAACATGTCTACCAACATCAGAAAAAGCATTTGTTGCACCTCCGGTGGCACTCGTAACTTGGTTCGGTACTGGTATTGCACCTAATACACAGATTAAATCAAAATTTGATGGTTAGCTAACATTTTTGCTCCATAAATAAAAATTAGTAACCAAGCTTCTGATATGCAGATCACTTAATAAAAGAAAATTTCTTCCATCTTTTCATGTGTGCCCACCCAACCACATCAAACACTCAGCATTCTTAAATCTCAGCCAAATTCATTTCACAGCAAGTTGTTTCTCGCTACAAAGCAATTTTTGAGAGTAAAAGCCTTGCTGGCTATATAGAATATTTATCAAATTTCTCCTTTGGGATTATTTAGAGATATTTTGATATTTACATATCAATCCAATGAACCATACTTTGCTCGTCTTTATATCCCCAGCTTGTTCTTAGCTCGTTATTTTAAAAAATCAGTCTATTTAGCCCCAGGTCACAAGCAACCAATTTTTAAGAAGCCTGCATATTGTTATTTAGAAAATACCCCAACTAGAATGTACCCAAAGCACAAATCGTATAACTAGGCAATACTCACAACTTATTGTGATTATAATGCATGCCACATGCGTTGTTTATAAGTGAATACTTTAATTTATAACAGTACACTCATGCTTACAGTTAATATGCATTTCAAGAACTATACAAAATACATGCATTAATGTTCCTATAAAAAATGATTGTAGCATCATGTGAATTTTGGATTTGCCATGGTAAATCTAGTGACTCCATTGTACCTTACACTGCCATTGAAGGTGCCAAACAACACCACAAAAATGACCAAACTCACAAATCCCAACTTCTAACTGCCAATTGAGGCAATCCCATTTTCTCAAATAACTTCATTCTCAAAAACAAATTGATATGATAAATGATATACAAAAATCAAAGGGTGAGCCTTGGTGCAACGGTAAGGTTGTTGTACCATAACCTAGAGATCACCAGTTCAAAACAAGGAAACAGCCTCTCCACATGAGGAGGTAAAGTTGTGCACATCTAACCCTCCCCATACCCCACAATGGGAGGAGGCTCATGCATTGGGTTTGCCCTTTATAACAAAAATCAACAGAGAAATTCAATTTCCAAGGGACATCTAAACACAACATTATATTTGTACATTCAAATGATAAAAATGAAAACATTAATCTAGTTTGATAAGCAAACCATTACAGCATAAGCAATTCATCTCTTACATTCAAATGACAAAAATGAAAACATTAATCTAGTTTGATAAGAAAACCGTTACAGCATAAGCAATTCATCTCATTCTTGATTAGTTAAAAAAATAATAATAAATAAAATTCACATGCTCAATTCACAAAATTTGGCAATTCACACACATTTCCAACTAAAATCAACATCATATATAGTAGAGTAGTGAGAGAAAATGGTGTACTTGAACTGTTAGCAGCTGAAATTTGGGGCTTTTTATCATCATTGGGTATGGAGAGCCCACCGGAGTTCATCTTGCTCAACGATGTTTAGAGAGAGAAAGTGGAGGTAGTACCTAAATTTAAAGGGCGTCCAGAGCCGATACCAAGACCACAAACGATGCCAAAGCCAGTGAAAACTTGACCCACCTTCAAAGTAAATGGATTCTCTATTCTCATTCTCTGTTTAACAACGGTTACGACACTGTTGCTAATACTGCTAGTACTCTCCATTCTTCCACCACAAGCCCCCTCTCTCTCTCTAGAAACCTAAAAGCTCAAGCCTCTCTCTCTCTCTCTCTCCCTCTCCCTCTCCCTCCCTCCCTCCCTCCCTCCCTCTTATAAAGTGATATTCCACAAATCCCATAGCCATCAAAGCTGCGCTCTGTAAGAAACGAATCTCTCTCTCTCTCCTCTCTTCTCTCTCTTGAAAATCTGTTACTGTGTGCTTGTGTGTGTATTTTGGTATATAAGTATACAATTGAAAAAGTAGTCATACCTTTGATATTCTATCAAGTATCAATTCAGTAATGTTTTTTTATTGCAAAACGTATACCTATTTAGAAAACACTGATAACATATTAAATACAATACATAGTAAATACTCTTATGCATTACATTCATGCAAAAAAAAAAAAAATGAATTATTTTCATTATTTAAAATTTTTTACTTCATGTTTATTCCAAAAAATCTAATAAGTTACAAGTAAATCTTTATAAATTTGAGGAAATGTCTTCCACAAGAGTGCCTCAAATGAGTAAGAAACTGACCAAGAAGTTGAATTAATTTTTCTTTTTCTTTTTCTTTTATTAATATAAGAGCTTTAGTTATAGAGATTTACCAAGTTTGCCCCCTCAAAAAACAGTTTTCAATAACTTATAAAATATAAAATTATTTTGAAAAAGTTATAAAAGCCACCTTAAAATCAGATTTTTTTATAATTGAATTTGAAAAAATAATTTTTAAAAAATTAAACCAAGCAAAAATTTTTACAATTTTATGATTTAGTTCTCTCAAAGAATAACAAACAAACCAAGCAAATAGAGTTCCAGTCTTTGGATGGAGGAAAAAGGAAGATCATTTTCAACGATTTAACCTGGAAATATTATAACTTGAAAATTTACACTAATAAAACAACAAAAGAGTTGGAGGAGGAATTGATTCAGGCTGCTAAGGGCTTGTTTTAAAATCAGAAATCTTTACATAACAATACTTGCACACGAAGAAGAAAGGGGAGCCCATCACTGGAATGAAAGCGGCAAAAGAAATCTAAATCACATAAAACGGGAACAGCAGTGGAAGCGAATTCGAGAACGGGAGCATGAAAGCGGCAGAATTAAGTCATAAATAGTGAGAATTTGAGCCAAAGCGCGCGTGGAACGTTAAAACGAAAACGCACTCGGAGCATAAGAACAACACTCGTTGAAAAGAATTGTGTGACTTAAGAAGAAATCACTGCAAGAGAAGAGTGACCGGCAGTGGCAAGGTACCTGTTTGGAATAATAAGGTTGATTAACCAATAATCGCCCTAATCACGAGCCTCTTTAAACGGGTTTGACAGCAATAAAACACATTGCAACAACATAAAGATGGTCCTCTCGGCTTATATTCAATCCAACCCCTCATTGTGCTGTCAGACAAATTTTGATCCAACATACATCATAATGTACAGAATAATATTGAACTAAAATGATTCAGATTCACTAGCACTTCCATTACAAGGTTAAAATAGTGTACAGCATCTTAATGCACTAGAATTGGTACAGACTATCAATTCTTGAATTCTACATCCTCCTCATTAGCAGAAATTGAAGGATAAAATCATAAAAGTATAATAATGGAAAGAAAAAAAAAAATTGTATACACAGTAAAATTTTGGTATATTCTTTTGTTTGTAAATGGGAAAAAAATCAAATAAAATAAATAGCACTCCAACAACAATGATCCTCACTAGGACTAGTTCTTCAGTAATCTTGTCGGCTTGTGATCTGCGACATCTGCCAATGGTTTTATTGGCACAAAATCCCCCAGCTCCAAGTTCGATAGCAAATTGCTCCTTGAACTGTTATGATGTTACCATCAAACATCAAGCCCTTGATTCTGGCAAAAAATAAATCACATTTGTCAGTATGGGAAAGCAACAACATTAAATTCTAAATGCTATATAATGCTTTCAGCTCTTTATCTCAGCATCAAGACAATGTATAATTTTTTTAGAATGTAGATGCTTTGAGAAGTACTTCAACAAGTGCTCTATCACTCTTGCATAATTGTTAAAGGCGCGCCTAGGCTCCAAAAGCATCAGGCTTATCAAGGCTCAGCTAAAGTGCCTCAGCATAGTACACGCCAGACCCCTTCAATTAGGCTCGCATAAAGCCCTCAGACTCACACTTTTTAACTAGGCTCCGGGCTCAAAATATGACTACTAAATTAAAATGTTCTATATCATATATCGTATTGTCTAACCTCATGAAATATTTGACAAAATTCATAAATTTATGGTTCACTACATACATTAAGTGCAATTAGTGCTTAATTCTGAATATATAATAATAATATATATTTTAATATGCAATATTATTACACACGCGCCTTACTTCGATAAGGGTCGCGTCTTATATTGCGCCTTGCGTATAGGCTCCACAAAGCCTTTGGTGCCTTAGTGCGCCTTGAGCCTTTAACAACTATGCTCTCTTGCACGCGTGCATACACATCACAGACATACAAGCATGCACCCTCACCCACATAAATAGAAAAAACTTGCAGCACAAAAACTAGAAAATAATGAGTAACAATTTACCCCAAAATAGATTCCCACAAAGTACATCAAGTATAGAATGTGACAGTAATCGGTAACTGTAAGAAGCCATTACACATTCGATTCCATTGAAGATGGAAACCATCTTTAATTTCAATTCTTTAACAAACAGACAGTTATCAGTTTCACATTAGCATAAAGGACAATTAAAAGGAACAAAATGGTTTAGATCCGGCAGCTAGTTGACAAAAGCACTTCACCAAGAAGAGCTTGCTTGTGTGGCATCTTACCAACCAAAATATTCCAAAATTATAATAAGAAGTTAACTTGCCTTCAAATTCAATCTACTCATATTAGAAAATTCATTACTTGTGCAGTATGAATATGTCCAAGCAATCAACTTCTTTGTAATCCACTCCATTAATCAGACAATGTCACTGAATAAGAAATGAATAATCAAGCAAATGGGATATCAAAAGGGAAACAAATAATAACTATGCATAATTTTACCAAACACCTTTTAATTTTGAGTACTCAGTATGGAAAAAATCAATATTTTATTTGTCACTGCCCAATGTATCAAACAGATGATGTCACAAAATTGGAAATACATCAAAGGCAAACAGCTTCATTGATAATGAGGTTAAATGCAGATGAGAATATAAACAAATAAAAAAAAGTTTTCTGCTTAAAATCAACAATACCAAGTAATGGAAATCAACAAACTCTCAAAGCAAGATAGTTTTAACTTTAACCAAAATATAAACATATCGTGTAACAGCATGTGAAATATAAAATTTAGCAAATGGGGTCACTGAAAACAGACATAAAAATAGATAAAAACATTTGTAACTAAAAAAAATATATCAGATTCGGCATCTCAATAATGGAAAACTGTCAAAAAAAAAAAAAAAATCCCATAATTAACGGAAAACTGCCAATTGTTAAAGCAAATTAATTCTTCACAATCCCAACACCAAACGGATGGGTGTCATGCAGTGAAAGATGAAGATTTAAGGAAATGGGATCAGTGAAAATCCAACAGAACATAGTTATATATCCAAGTAAACACAATTTCAACCTTCGCTACAATTCTAAAGCACCAAAAAAAAGGAAAACATTGTGAAAACAATCGAGCTCCTAACAGTCCAACCACGAATATTATGTATCAGACAATTATACAAAAAAAAAAAAAAAAAAAAGGAAACTGCTAAGCAAATGAGTTCAATGTTTTATAAATTTATTATTGAGCCCCATGCATACATAAACAATTGAAAAGTAAAATTTGCAAAAGCTATTGAGTTCTTCGCTGCTAATTATATGATCAATAAATGAAGGATTAAGCATATGGGTTAAACAATAAAAAATTCTGAATTCCTAAAGTTATTTAGTTCGTCACTGCTAATTATATGATCAATAAAATGAAGGATTAAGCAAAGGGGTTAAGCAATGAAAAAGTATGAATTGCTAAAGCTATATAGTTCTTCACTGCCAATTATATGATCAATAGATAAAGAATTAAGCAAATGAGCATAAAAAATGAAAAATGTATGAATTGCTAAATCCATTTAGTTCTTCACTGCCAATTATATGATCAATAAATGACGAATTAAGCAAATGGGTTAAACAAAGAAATGTTATGAATTCCTAAAGCTATTTAGTTCTTCACAACTAATTGTACAATCAACAAATGAAGAATTAAGCAAATTGGCCATTGTGAAATTGGGTTGTAATTGTGAATTAAGCAAATGGGTTAAGCAAAGAAAAATTATGTATTGCTAAAGCTATTTAGTTCTTCACAGCTGATTATTGATCAATAAATGAAGAATTAAGTAAATGGGTCATTGGGAATTGGGTTGTAATTGTGAATTAAGCAAATGGGTTAAGCAAAGAAAAATTATGAATTGGTAAAGCTATTTAGTTCTTCACAGCTAATTATTGATCAATAAATGAAGAATTAAGCAAATATGTCATTGGGAAATTGGGTTGTAATTGTGAATTAAGCAAATGGGTTAAACAAAGAAAAATTATGAATTGCTAAATCTATTTAGTTCTTCACTGCTAATTATATGATCAATAAATGAAGAATTAAGCAAATGGGTTATGGGTCATTGGGAAATTGGGTTGTAATTGTGAATTGAGTAAATCTGTTAACAGCGAAAATTTATGAATTGTTAAAAGTATTTAGCTCCTCACTGCTAATATATGACCAATAAATGAAGAATTAAGCAAATGGGTAATTGGGAAATAGGGTTCTTATTACCTGGGTTAGAGAAGCACCAGAGGACGATGGCACAGAGGACCAGCAAAATGGGGATGAAATGGACAGCAGTCTCTGCAGATCTGAGACGACTTATCTCTTTCTTGGCTACATGGGATTGGGGATTGTAGGTTGGCAATTGGTCGGAATCCGAGCTCGGTCTGAAACTCTGAGATGCCGAAGAAGATGAAGATGATGATGATGACAATGATGACGATGATGAATATGCGAGCAACTCTGAGACTCGACTCGCGCTAGAAGAACGGTGCATTTTTCTTGGGAATATCAGAGAAATATAGATCGAGTACTCAGAGAGAGAAGAAGAAGGATTACAGGATCATGATAGTTACATTTGGTGCGGTGCTTTGTATCCTGGTTTGGTTTAATATCAGAAACTTCTCTGAAAGCCAACGAAAACGTCAAAATTCCATTCAATCGGAGGGTTTGTTTAGGAAGGTCAGAGGATGCGTTCTCCTGGAAGGAAAAAGGTAACTTACCTTTTCTTTTCTTTTTTTGTTTGTTTTTAATAGTATATATTTATATTTTAAAATTTATTTATTTATTTTATCCGAATGTTACAACAAACAAATGCTAACACATATCGCAGGAAACACGAACACAGAGTCTACAGACACAGGGACAAGAGTACCACGGATACGAAAAATCTCAAGAAGGGAGACACAGAAGCATGGATACATCAAAAAAAAAAAGAAAAAAAAAAAGAAAGATATATATAAATATATATATAAAATATTTTATTATATATAAAAAAAATTATTCATTTTATTCACATAATGAAAAGTACTAATTTGAAGTTTATAATTAAATATTTGTTATTTTACAATAGTTTTAGTGCATAATATATTTTAAATCGCATTGAATTTCATTCTTTTAAAAATATATAATTACAAAATCACTCTGTATAATTATGAGTGTTTTTTTCTTTTTCCTGAATAATTATGAGTGTTTAAAATGTGTTATTGTTGTGTTTAATCTTATTCGACACTCTCGCGTTTAGCTGTGTTCAATCTTACCGCATCACTCCTAAGTGGAGTGTTCATACTTCCTAATACATAACTAACCTTCCTAATACATAACTAACCGAACTAAAAACTTTCAAGTTCTCTAACATCATATCATTCACGGTTCAATTATGATTAGACGTTAATGATAAATTATGATTAAAGTATCAATAAAGGGTCTTAGAGTCGATGCAACACAATATTTTAAATTAAGACTAAACATCCGTTTAGGAGGTAATGCACTTACGATTGTTACATCTTGTCATCTACTATAAAATCAAAGTTACAAATACAAATTTAGTTGCCTTGTCATAAAATTTTTGAGTGATGCCATGACAGAATGTAACAACTTAGGGCCAAAGCATCTCAAGATGCATTGGAAACAAGATCCAACGCCTTCGATGCTTGGCCTTAAAATCTACTGCTTCTTTATATGCATTAAAAATAAATAAATAATTGATATCTAAATTGAGAATTCATGTCCAAAAAATAAGTCAATTACTTATAAAAGCTTTTTTGACTAATATTTTATAACAAAACTATTAACTAGATGAGCATATTCATGTAAATCACTATTCTTTAATATTTTGAGGGTTTTTGATATTTTCTCCGTCCTAATATAATTGTTGTGAGTCATAATTCACAAAATGAATAATTATATTGGACGAGAAAAGTAATATAATTTATTGGTGACCTGGGTAGTTCAAGGTGACAGGAAGGAAGTTGTTGTCCAATTGGTCAATCTATGATTATGAACGTGTTGCCAATTGCCAGAAGGACAAATCATCCTAGTTGTATTACTCCTCTTAAATGTATAAGCCACCATTTCTGACCAATCACTGTGAGGAAATCATGATCACGCGCATTCGCGGACTGCGTATATCAAATACCTTGCCAAACAGCGACTGCTTCACATGCTTTTGTTATTGGTTCGATGGTATTTATTGCCAAACAGTCTTTCTAATTTTCCATTCCACCTCATTCCACCTTTCAGTTCTCTTTTCCATTCTACTTCACATGCTTTTGTCAAATCTTGAGATGTTCGTGGAAGAATGAGAGTCCTCTCCATTGTATGATATGTTTTTAATTATGTATACAAGACTAAGATATTGAGAGGTAAGCTGTATTACTTCAAAAATGTAATATTCATGCGGCATATATACTAGAAGATATAATAGTATAATAAATTTAAGAGCTTAAATTATAAAATCTCTAATACTATATATTTTTTTTTATCATAAAACTCCAATTTGATTGTTTGTAAAGATCTTAACAGTGTTATAAAGTTATTACTTTACCCCAATTCTATTAGTTTGGGACGTTAACCTAGTGTGTGGTCTTCACATACATTGTCAATCAAATTTTAGTGACAAAAATATCCTTGCAAGAACATGTGTCAACCATGTGCTATCAATTTTATTTTTATTTGTTTTGTGCAAGAGGATAATGTTGTAATTTGTAAAATATAATTTTTTGTTTTTTTTAAATAAATTGGTATATCATAAGGGTAATTTAGTCATTTAACAAACTCTTAACAGTTTATTGACAAAATTGAATCAAAGTGGCAACTACTGTTACCGTTTTTACGAACAAGTCCGGGTTGTATGATAAAAAAAAAATAATAGTATTGAGAGTTTTTTATATGATTTAAACCCTAATTTTAATTTTTAAAATGCAATAATTTTGCTTCGAAATTATATTCTTGAAATAATAGTGTAACATATGCACAACAAAGTAAGTTATGGAACTTTTCAAAAAGAGATGATCCATCCAAACTCCAATGGATTAGAAGCTTAATTTTATTGTGGTTTAAGTTTGTGTAAAACATATCTTTATAAATTGAGTTATGTATTTGAGTTTGAATTTTATGGACATGATCCATAATGAGTTATGCTTTTCAAGTATAATTATAATAAATCTTAACCCAGTAAAATTAGGCTCCAACTAAATTATATATAGACAGGATAAGAATCAATTTAATGATGAATTTATACACCTATACGAAGGAAAAAATTTCTATAATTGAAATATTTATATACAATTAAAGTTTTTTTCCCTAATCATATACATATAAATTTTGTTTGAATTTAGAAAAAATTTAAACCCAATAACTAAATTATTTAAGTCATTGGCAACTTTTTAAAATGACAACAATTTGAGAAATGTTCTTGATGTCCCTGTTTTGATGCATGTTATGAATCCGTGTACACACGCGCAGTAAGTCGAATGGGAGTGTTTTTCCTTCGTTAATTTCAGTTACACGCGTATGCGTGGATGACACATCCAAGAAACATCTGGCCGTCTCGCCACCAAAGCAACTGCTGACGGGTTTCAACGGTTCATGAAAATGACAAAAAGCACTTTAGGCGTGTTACACATGCATTTTATTTGTGCTGTTTTTATTTTTTTTATTGCTACAGGATCAATTTTGGTAACAAAAATATATTTAGTGCAACCTTATTTTATTTTATGAAGTATTAAAACACTTCGTGAATAGTGGCTCAAAGTTGTTTTTTCTTATTTTGATAACTATTCATGACCCAAAATCATAACAGTAGTGTAATACGAACCAAAAACAAAACGTCTAAAATATTGTTTCTAAACGTGGTTCTGATTTTTTTTTTTTCCAAAACACTCTTACAACAAAAATACTATTTCTGTTTTAGCCAGAAACAAGATGTCTAAAACAAAGCACATGCCAAACGAGTTAATGATCTCTCCATTGTTGTTTTTTTCTTTATTAATTTAACGGTTACAAATAAGCTTAAAAAAGTTTTCATTTCATGTTATTAATCACCTTAATTGTTTCACTTTAAAAAATATATATGAATATTATTACTCAAGCCACAATTGCAAAAGAACAATTTCTTGATATTTTATTTTATCTTTGAGAGAAGGCGCCGAGGTTTTTTTGAATATCCTTATTAAGTCTCTTGTTCAAGTCTTAGGCAGTTACGATGTTTGAATAATTTTTTAAAGTTTTTTTTGTTCAAGTCTCACTGAAGATGAGTTTTGAATTTAAATGATGGACGTGATTTGCGATCAATTGTGTGGAGTTTGAAAAAGATTTAATAGTTTAAATTAATTAACGAGTGAGTTAATTTTATATTACTAATAAAAGAATAAAACAATGGAGAAGGACCATGGATGCACTTTGTTTTAGTAAATTATTTTACAATTGTACTTGTAAAACAATTTTATAAAACAGTTATTAAACGAGCTATGTTGTATAGAGGAAAATGTCGGACCTGAAAAAACAATAAAAATGAGAATATTAAGATGGATAAATAGAGTTACTAAAAGAGATTTGGTCACAAATAAAAATTTGAGAGAGAAAGTAGATGTGCATGTGCATCAATGGGTTAGAAAATTAGATAAAGTAAATTTAGATGGTTTGGACATTTACACCATAGACTTAGTTATAGATGGTTACATGAGAAAAATGATCTAAAATAAAATGAAATTTTGTTTTAAAAATAAATATAGTAGGTGAAATGACATTTAATATAAAAGATTGATAAGAGAAAAATCACGGGAGTAAAAATGTACAAATTAATACTATGAAAAAATCACCTATAGAATTAAATAGAATATTTTGGAACGAGGCTGAATTCTAACACATCACATGTGTGGCACACGCATGTAAACTGATGGATGGTTCTATTCAATACAACGTGGATATGATTTTCTACTGAATTCCTTTGAAAAACACATTCTCTTCATTTAAATTTTTTTAGTGTAATTTATTGTTTATTTAAATTGAATATAACAATGATATTATATCGCAACACTTATATAATATATTTGATTCAAGAGTGTAACACACTATATAAAAATTATAAACGCATTTGCATTGTTATGGTATTCCTGATGTAGTTTATTGCATCCCAAGAAATTCTGTTGCAATCCCGATTACGTTAGTGGGCCAAAAACCATCTGAACTATATACTGGGAATTGAAATTATTTTTCTGTGTTAAAAGAGAAAAATTAATTAATAAGAAGTTCTTGGATAAATAATAATAATGTGAAATTCAATCACGTTACATCTACCAAACACCATATTTAAAATTAAAAACCAATAGAACACAATTTAAAAGTATTCATAGAACATCCAAGACAGAGTAGAAAGAGAATATATATATATATATATATATATATATATATATATTTTCATCGGGTTTGTTTTGTTAGAAAGAACTAGCAAGAAAGGAAAAGAACCAAAAATATTTAAATTTTTTGTGTGAAGCAAAACAATTTGTTTCGCAGAAAAGTTGTGAAGTTATATTTTAAATTCCTATTATAGCCATAATTATTGGTTGAGCTTCCTTCATCTTTTTCTCCCTTTTTTAGAGACATATTTTTTTCCAAACGTAAATGTCCCCCCCCCCCCCCCCCCCCGCCTTCTTTTTTTTTCCTTCTAAATACATATATATACATATAACATATTATGGTGAGTATTTTTTAAGTGCATTATATTGAGACTTGAGAGAGGCGAT